AGACCATGACAGTTCGTGTTTATCTAATTCTATGAGATCATTTTGGAACATATTTAAGAATGGAAAATAGTTTTCTCTGAATAGAGAGATGGTATTCGGTATGAGGTTAATGCCCAGATATGATATTTTATCATCTCTCCAGGCATAGGGGTAGCGAGGCTGATATCTTTTTCTGTGTTGTAGAGGGGATGCCTATATTGAGAATATGTGATTTAGAATCGTTGACTTTATAGTAGGACATGCGACCAAATTGGTGTATAACTTTGTGGACCTCAAACAGGGAGGGAGCTGGGTTCGTGGTCATAAAAATCACATCATCAGCAAACAATTGTATTTTGTGATGGTGGTGGGAGAGTTGGAATCCTGTAATAGAGAGATTGATTTTAATCGCTTCAGCGAAGGGTTCCATGAGCAGATTAAATATTAAAGATGATAGGGGGCATCCCTGTCTTGTGCATTTAGATATGGAGAAGGAGGAAGAAAGGATTCCTGAGACTAATACTGGAGCTAATGGGCAGGAGTATAACGCCATAACAGCGAAGCCAAACCTGCGGAGCACGTGTTCCATGTATTGCCAGTAAATTCTATCAAACGCCTTCTTAGCGTCTAATGTCAGAAGGACAGAAGGAGTTTTGGATTTGGAGGCCCAGTGTATGAAATTAATAAGTCTACGAGTGGCATTGGGTGCTTGTCTACCCAATAGAAATCCCGACTGGTCCGGATGGATCAATGCCGGCAACAAAGTGTTCAATCTAGAGGCTATGATTTTAGCATAAAGTTTGACATCAGTGTTAAGCAATGATATCGGGCGAAAGTTAGATGGAGTTGTAGGTGCCTTGCCAGGTTTGGGAATGGTTACTATAGTAGCTTTTAACATTTCATCTGGGAATTAAGCTTTTCGGATGGCCGGTCCAAAAACCCGGAGCAGATGGGGAGTCGGCAGGTCTGTAAAAGCCGTGTAATATTCGGCTGAGAAGCCACACGGACCAGGGGTCTTACCACTGGGCAGAGATTTAATGATTCAAGAGATTTCCTCTACCTTAATGGGAGAATTAAGGGTAGATAGTTGGGTTGTGGTTAGAGTGGGTAGTTTCAAAGAGCATAAGAAGTTGTTAATATCAGTAGCCGTGGGTATAGGGGTAGATGGATCCTCTTTAAGATTGTATAGGGAACTATAGTATGACTTAAATTTATCAGCAATGTCTATGGGGCTTGTGGTTTTTGTCCCATCTAAAGTGCACACAAGATGGTGAATTCTGGACTTGGCTCTATGACCTTTAATCCGGTTGGAAAAAAATGACCCCGCCTTACTAGCACTAGAGTAATATGTCAAACGTAGCCTTCTCAAAGATTTATCAAATCTGTCTAAGAGAAGGGTACGCAGTTCAAGTCTTAATTTGTTCAGTTGGGACATAAGTGCAGGTTGGGGGACGGATTTATTTTGTGTGTCTAAATCGTGGATATGCTTGAGTAGCTTAGATAGTTGAGCAGATCTTTGTCTGTTTAGTTTAGCAGTTTCCTGTATGAGTATTCCCCGCATGTATGCCTTATGGGCATTCCACACTATGATAGGGTCGTCCCCGTGTTGGTACACAAAAACTCAGTCAAATGGTTAGCAAGAGATAAGGCTATATCTGTGCGTTGTAGCACCGAGGTATCATTCCTCCAGATTCGTGTCCGAGATTTGGGTGGGGAAAGGGATATTTGTATAGAGATGGGAGCGTGGTCCGACCAGGTGATGCTATGTATTTTCGTCTCAGACACTCTCTGAAGGAGGGATATATCTACTATGAACATATCAATGCACGAATACGAGTTGTGAACAGGGGAGTGAAATGTAAAGTCTCTCTCATTGGCATGGTGGCAATGCCAGACGTCATAGAGATTTTCTCTCGCCAAGAATGGGGATAGACTAGTGGAGCGTGGTCGCATACGCGACCCTGAACAATCCACAACGGGGTCCGATACAATATTGAAGTCCCCACAGTAGAGGAGAAGGCCCTGTCTGACTTTTGCCACCCTGCCAAGGAGTTTGTTCTATCCTGGTGAGGAAACCCCATCTGTAAGAAATGTTGTGCTTCCGCAGAGCTTGGGTTATAGGCGCCAGGTTTCTACGGAGATTCAAGGTGTGTTGCGATAGATCAGGATAAAACTGCAGATTCGCGCAGTTATCCGGTAGTGAAGAAGGAGATCTGACAGCCGCCATGATCTTCTCTCTCATGTGGAAGAAGTGGATACGTAAAATGACATCACGTGGAATCTTGTCTGGCAGGAACGCAAATTTTGGTAGGCGATTAATTCTGTCAATCACAAATTCGGCAGGAGGAACATCAGGCAGCGTTGTAGAGAGGATATTCTGGACATAAGGGAGTAACTGCTGAGGGGCGACTGACTCAGAAACTCCTCTAATTTTAATGTTGTTGTGTCGGGCTCTATCCTCCAAATCTGCCACTTTAGACTGCAACCAGGTAACATCTTCTGAGACTTGGTTATGGGAGTCTATGAGGTCATTAGCGGTAGAAGTAAATTCCCCCATCTTGTGTTCCACATGATCAACCCTTGAGCCCACAGCAGTAACTTCTGCGTGTAGATCTTGAACCAAGGCGACCATGTCTGAGTGAATGGCACTGCGCAGGGATATTGGCATATCCTTTAGTGTGGTATCTAATACTGGTTGGTTGGTAGTAGGGAACCCAGTGATGGACTGTTTAGTTCCCTTGTGTCATCCAGAGAAGAATTGTGATGACTCACCTCTGTGTCACCGACTCGCCCTCCCGACATCCCGGCCTTTGTTTTCACAGAGTTGGTAGACTGTGAGGAGGCTGGTGATATTGCCCTTCTCTGGATGGAGGAGGATGCAGAGTCTGCAGATGGAGGCGAGGAGGAGCGGGGAGAGCCGCGATCACTCTGGGCAGAGGAGCGCTCTGTCTGTGCGGGCGAACCGCCTCTTCAGGGCCATCTGAGAAGACTAATAGCTGCTGTTCAGATTACCAAACAAGGGGTTAAGTGTGACCGAGAGAGCTTTCTTTGACTGATGTATGTTAATACTAAATCCACAGTATAGTTGGTGAGTTCAATACAAGAAGTGTGATGTGGTGACTTGGTGTAAGACAACTTCACAGGTAGAAAACACAAATTGTTGTATGTGAGTATTTGACACATGGACACTTTCTTTGTTTTCAATAGAGCAAAGAATTATAGAGAAAATTTGAATATAAAAAAAGGAAAAAAATTTGGATGTATATGTTGAACACTATTGATTGTTTTGTATATGGTGGTGAAGGGATTTATGTAGATTTGTATAATTGTTTATTTATTTAGTAATCAAAGTGCTGTGTTTTGATAATATTTTTACATGGACATTTTATTTAAAGTGACATTAAACCCTCAGATTTTTTAACATAAAATAATACTGTAATGTGTGCCTTACTGTAATCCATGGTTGTTTCCCTTCTCTTTGCTGCTCTTCCTTTTAAATCTGTATCTGTTCTCATGCACCTCAGGAGAATTGTAGTAAATAAAAAGTTGAAAACTTAAAGTTGTTTGAAGTATTTGAAATCCTTTCCAGTTTAATTTATGGTGATATACTCATTTACAGAAGCATAAGCTCCTTTTATTCCTATAGGAAATCCATGGATCTTAAAATGTTACTGATACTTTTAGGGATGCACCGATACTGAGTAATACTCCCGATACTTATTACAATACTGGAACTTCAGTTTAGTGCAGCGCAGAGGATGTTTTTCAAGTCTTATGAAGTGTAAGAAGGCAAGTAATTGTCATCGTAAGTAATATCTCTGCTAAGAAAGCAATACTAAAACCTGAGCAGCAGAGAGAGGGAGGGAGTGTCTAGCTTAAGACTGTACCAACAAGCACTAAAACATTAGGGAGGAGTGGGAAAGAGGAACATACCAAATACAATAACAAGACAAAAAAAACAGGCTGCTGTGACACCACACAGAAATTCATTATATTCACCACTTGGGTTGCAATTGCTTAAACCATTTGGACAACCATTGATACCAAGCAATATATTATTGATGGGAAGAAACTCTCCAGATCAAGTCCAACAAGAAGGAATAAAAAAATGAAATGCAAGCTTGACAAAAACAGATACGTGTCCTTTAGTATAACATATGAGTTCCGATGATAATCTGTACTGTGTCTGTATATCACAGAGGTGACTAGCAACTCTCAGGCATCACTGGTGTTTGTCAAACATAGTCTATTAAACTGCTTATCTCATGATCTACTTAAGCATTCCGTATATGTCTTCTTACCCTATGTAGAGGAAAACATCTATGTATATTCATCTCAAAATATCAGACAATATAAAATGTCTTACTTACTGAGAAAAAAGCATTCTATACACTAGAACTAATATATCAGCAACACACTGCCACATTGTCATTGTGGAAGAACTATTTTAAAGTCATGTTTATTGCCAGTCCAAACACCTAAAATTTAGCACATTTAAATGTTAACCAATAAAAAAGGACTTTATGTCAATTGATTGTAATTGCAGGTTTTTTTTAACATTAATGAATGTGATTTATTCATTTTATGATTTAGAAAGATATTTGGCATAACCCCACACTCAAAAAATATTGATTCTTGTCATTTGAAAGCAGTATTCCCCTTAGTGATGTCAATTATGAAGGATTTAAAATTGTCATTTTAATTGCTAGCATTTCTGCCAGCAGTAGGGAGACAAAGGTGAACTTAATCTAAGGGCATGTAAAAGATGTCTAAGCTGTAACTTAACCGATAGCTGAACTTTAAAATAATATATAACAGCATGACAGAGTGATGCTTAAAATTTGCATGCCATTTTATATGCAACTTTACCCTTTCTACATATGCCCTATTTTTATGTTGCTTATTTCTGATAGAATTAATGTTTCATTAAAGAGACATGCATATAAAACTATTCTAAAATGTTAGAAAGTAGGTTAACACACATTGGCATGATCTAAACAAGTAATATAAAAAAAACGTACAAAATCCTTTTCCCGCTTGTGCTTCTCCTCTGATTCTTTCATATGTTCTTGGGCTTGTTCTAGCCTGGCATCCACCAACTTTTGCTGAAGTTCCCTCTGTTTAAACATCTTGTCCAGATTCTGTAAAAAGATATAAGGATAATATTTAATGTGGTGTAGAAACATACTAGAGACATGTGAAAGTGAGGCTGTAAGTAAAGACATGTGAAAGTGAGTGTGATTTATTTAAAAGGTTGGTTACAATACAAATGGTGGACAGGCAACTAGCATTGCTTGAAGGAGAGATCAGCAATGGCAGTATCTATATTCATTTAATGCCCAACTTTGGGCTCTTGTTCTCCACTGGAGAACCCTCTACCCTATATGCATTTTTAAAAATGTTATACTTGCTTTTTCTTCTGACCCGTCACATTATGCCCCCTTTCATTTCTGATCTTCTTCCGATGGTGGGCAGTCCTGTTCATTTAGCAAAGCAAATTTTTTTCACTTTGCAAGGTCATTTTACATTAGCTTAGTGAATGAGGTAAAGCTCTGCTGGCTTCCATCATCCAATCATGTGCAGGCAAATATATATTTTTTAAATTATCCTTTCTAAAGATTGGGTATTATTTGCAAAGTAAATTTTTACCAAATTTGCTAAGCTAAGAGAATATTTCCTGGCAAAGTGAATATTTACTTTGCAAAGTAAATGTGCTCTATTACTTTAGATAATCAACCCCAGCATGTCTTCAAACTTCTGGGTTGAGTGACATCCAGAACTGAGGCGGAGGCAGGGAGGAGGTACTTCAGGGTATGACACTTGAAAATAGGTGACTATTGCAGATAGAGCTATTTTTTTTAACTCCCAGGGGACTTTTATAAATCTAGCCTGGAATTGGGTTGTAAATACCATTTTCATTTATTGCCAACATTTAAGGGGTTATTTTAATGTATAGCATTTTAATTGAGTAAGACTTATAAAGGAGACAAATATTCAGAGAGTGGAAGTTTAATTTTTGTGTTAGCTTTTATTCAGGAGATCTACATTTTTATAGTTATAGTTATGATAACTAGGGATGAGGTATGAGTTTGCGTGAATGCAGGATTCATTGCAAACATTGACTGTTTACAGTAGGGAACCCCAAGAATGCACTGCATGACATGTGAACGATGATCAGGTGGCATAGTACAGCTAATAATGGGGGTTTGCAAATGTGCCAGTCCCCCCTATAAAAGTCAGCACTTCCATCAGCCTTTAGTCAGTGTTTGTTCAAGTGTCCAAGCACCACATCCTCCATTCCTCTCTTGCCTTAGTTGATAATAAAATTAGGCAATAGCTACTCAGGCAAGATATGCAGAAGTTCAAAGAAAGGCTGACGGAGGCAGAAGACAGAATTAACAAACTGGAGGATGTAAATGCTTCTGTATGTGCCGATCTTAAAATGGCGTTGCAAAAAGTTACTATTAATTCTAGTAAGATCGAAGAGTTGGAAAACAGAGCAAGGCGCAATAACATCAGAATGGTGGGATTGCGTGAACAGTCTGAGGGGTTAAATCCGGTGGCGTATATGGAAAATTGGATCCTAGAGACAATAGGAAAAGAACAATTATCTCCTATGTTTATGATCGAAAGTGCTTATAGAATTCCTGCACATACGAAGGTACATCGAAATTTTCCAAGGACTATGTTGTTCAAAGTGACTAATTACAGAGATAAGGAGGCAATTCTCCGTAAAGTTAGTGAACTGGGAGCTATATCTGTGGCAGGTATGCGAGTGATGCCATTTTCAGACTTTTCACAGGAAGTTCAGAAAAAAAGAGCTCAATACCAGGAAGTGAAAAAACGAATGCGCCAAATGAAATTACAGTATTCAATGATATATCCTGCAAAAATGCGTGTAATTACTGAGGATAGGACTCATTTTTTGAATCCCCCTTAGCAGTCTCTGCCTGGTTGGATAAATACTCAATGAGTGATACAAGAGGCTAGAAGCTATGAGAGTTAATATGGGTCATGAGGATGGAGTATATTTTGATTATTAGACACACCACGCTGGGATCTGGACTGTAAGATGAATGGGTGGGTAAAGTTAATGTCTCTAACCCCCTATATGGATCCTGAGTGGAGTATATTCTGGTGGGGGGTCAATGTAGTAATGGGTTGTTTTTGTTTTGTTACTGTGTTGTGCAATGTGCGTTGTGTTTTTTTTGGATTTTGTTAGTGTTTTTTGTTTTGTGTTGCTGGGTCCTTTTTCTTTTCTCTCCTGTGTTCCTCTCCTTGTCTCTCAAGTACCAAAGTTTTGCTTACATTGGGGGACTATGCCTAATTGCTTTGTATCATAACATATGGTAGTTAAAATTTTATGGATAGGAGAAAAAATATATCTATACTGTACTATATGCAGATGATACAGTGGTCTTTTTGGCTGATACTAATCACTCTCTATTAGAGGTAATGTCTCTACTTCTGGAATTTGGTAGGTTCTCAGGGCTATGTGTCAATTGGGAAAAATCTATGTTACTTCCGATTGATCCTCTTCCATGTCCACTGCCGAGGTCTGCATTAATGCAAATGCGGTTATAGATAATTTTTTTGATACAACAGTGACGAGAGGTTTGATCTCAAAGATGTATGCAAATTTACTACCTGGGGTCCTGAATAAATCTCCCATGAAATGTAAAGTGGGCTGGGAAATGGACTTGGGGCCTCTGGATGAAGCCCTCTGGAGGGAGGCGTTGTTGTCAATCCAATTATTTTCACCATCTGCATCGCACAAATTGACGCAGCTCTATATTGTACATAGAACATATCGGACCCCTGAATTCCTACATAGGATAGGATTCAGGGAAAATTCTAAATGTCCAAAGTGTGGGGTTGAACCTGGTTCGTTAATACATCTGCTGTGGCGATGCCCGAAGTTGAAACGATATTGGCAGGAAATATTAGACATAATAAATACAGCCTTTGGAGTCCATATCTCTAATAATCCCATGTTATGTATCCTGGGTATTTTTGGACCCATAAAGGTGGAATACTACACAAAGGTGGCAATAACGAGGGCTCTATTCGTAGCCCGGCGTAGTATAGCCCTTAGGTGGATTTCAGCAGCGCCTCCCACAGTAGAGGAATGGAAGAAAGAACTAGATAAAGTGGTTAGATTTGAGGGAATTATGTTCAAGCACAGAGGTACTATGGACAAATATGGTAAAATGTGGGATAAGTGGATTGAATATGGTAAAGGACCTTGGGTATAATATCTCTCGTATAATATCTCTCCTATTTATTATTGGTACTCTGAAGAGTAATGTGGCTTAAGAAATATGGTATGTTGAGAGGAAAATTAATTTTATAAGGAGAGGTGTGGTTGTTTTTTTGTTTTGTTTTGTTTTTTCCCCTCTGTGGGTCTGTATGTATTGTTATCTGTTTTGTATTGCTGTTTTAATATGTAATTATGAATGTATACGTTTGTTCTATGTATTGTATTATTAAAATAAAAAAAGTATTGAATTAAAAAAAAAAAAGAATTAATGTAGCTGAATCACGCACTTAGCGGCAGGATCCATATGACCAAAGTTATGTGCTCCAGCAAGTATGGCTAGGAATGTTACATCTTCTTCATGGCGCACTAGGTACATTTTCTTTGCAGGATGAGACACACCCCCATGGAGCTGGTAGTAACACCATGGGGGTGATTTACTAACCTAAACACACGCACGCACTAGGTGCGTGTGATTTTTACACAGCAAAACTTATTTATCAACCAAAAAGTCTCTAAAAGCATATTTCCACTAATGCCATATATGGAAAAATCATGCACATGATGCATATATAATGCTGCTTCACAGTTTAGACAAAAATGGTTAGCTCATGCATTTACATTCCTGCATTCATCAACGCAAGCAACACAACATAGAGCTAATTTACACAACATCACCTTGCAAATTCATGCAGGGCTTTGCACAACACACCTGCTGGGTGTGTACACACTACAAAGGTGTTTAGATTCCACCCATAGATCATGCTGGGAGGGAACACACTACAGAGGTGTATACATGTTCGTGGTGTGTTTATAAGGTTAGTAAATCAACCCCCATGTGTTGTGCAACTTGCTGATGGTGCTTAGTCACATCCATTCCCTCCTCCTCATTAACCTTTTCTGGTGAATTATCAGAACCACCATCCCCACCCAAGCAACCAAAAGTCTACGCGACGTCCCAGGCAAAATGTTGCCATGCTCGTATGTCTGGGGGGGACAGGAGCCATAATGGGGAAAAGTTTATTTAAGCTCTTCATTGGCATGCTGAGAGGTGGCTGACCCCATGCCATCTTGTGCCAGGAAAGGTCATGTGTGACAACAACACCAACCTTCTGTCCTCCTTTTGGCAGTGAAAGTTAATACACATGCTTTGCCTGGCACAAATCCTGAACCTGGTGTTGCAGTGGTTTCTAGTTTACCCTGGTCCCCAGGATGTCTTGTGGCAGGCCAGAACTGTGTACGGCCACTTCAGACGTTCATACCCAGCCAGTGTATGACTGGCTGAAATGAAGTGGCAACACAAGCTGCCTGCCAACCGCCTGATATGCAATATGCCCATGCACTGGAACTCAACCTTGGCCATACTGCACTGGCTGAACTTGGACCACTCGAGTATTTGTACAAATATGGGATAAGCAATATGGGACACAAAAAGTTTCTCATCTCTCTATCTCTCTTCTAATTTGGCCTAGAAAAAGGATTCCATGTTGTGCAGCATGTATGAACTTTATTTTGTGCTTTTGTCTCTGACATTATACACTGTAATTTTTTATTTCACTAGTGGACTCGTGAAAATGCTTTCATGATGTGCAGCGTGCCTGTGCTGTACTCTTGGCTCTTGTCTCTGACATAATGCACCGTAATATTTATTTCTTGATTAAAAGTTACCTTGACTCTCGTTTTTCAAATGCAGCCTACTAAAAAGTAATCATGATGTGCCACATGTCTGTACTTTATTTCTGCCATGTTTATTTCATGATAAAATCTGCCTTGTCTTTGCCTTTTACATTGCTTCCCAGTCAAGCTGCTTACATACTCTTTGTATGTCTGCGTATTGTCCCTGAAATATTGCTCTGTAATGTTTATTTCTTCATAACAACTCTATGGAATGAGGGGTTGTGGTTTGAAAGTGTTTTTTTGCACTCCGTGTTGACCTTTTATTAAGCTTAGTAGAAAATACATATTGGTACTGCACAACCTATTCTATTAAACATGTTTTGCCACTATTTGTGGCATTTTTGTGTGATTTTATTTATTTAATTTGAAACTGTATTTCTTCCATTAGCTTTTAGATCTGTTCTGTTTACTACTTCAACTCCTAAATTCTGGCCTATTACTGCTAGATTAAAAAAAACATGCGTTTAACCAGTTGACATCCGCGGTGTTAAACCCCCTTCCCATCCAGGCATTTTTCAGTATTCAGCGCTGCGGTACTTTGACTGACATTTATTCCGTCATGCAGCGCTGTACTGAAATGAATTTTAAATGGCCAACGCAGATTTTCCAGATTCACCTCCCCATTACTTCAATGGGGTTCGCATTAAACTGTACATTTTGTAAATATTATGACACGTGCCAAATGAGCCTGCAAATTGAACCCAAGCATATTTGCCCATCTTTAATGATAACTAGCTTCCACTTCTAAATATAGTAATATTATTGCTTGTAGTTGGCCAAACTCTACCCATACAATGATCTTCATCTACGGTGTTGGAAATATGATCTTATACAAACTAATTTCTATTATTCTCCTCTAAGATATAATGACAAAGATAATGTTGCTAACAAAGGTAACCTTGGGCATTGTGTGCTATAATGGTATAGTTTGTATTAAAGAACACATTGTAACATCCCAGTTTCCCTCTAGAGAAAATCTAACCATGCTAACTATTGGGTGTTGCATAGTTTTATATAGCAACATCTATTGCAAAATATAAAAAATATTGTACATGGTAAAGAGAAAAGGCAAAATATAATTATATACAAAATACTCTAAAATTATGCTCAAAAATATATAATAGAAAAAAGAAAATAAGAAGAGTATGTGATAAATAAAATATGAAGAGACTTTAAAAGGGATTTAATACTTCTAATATGGGAATCATTTACTTCTGTTACACAGTTAGCATTGTTAGACATAATATAATAGTGCACCTGCTGAGGTTATAAACCCGACGCTATCAGTATAAAATTCTGTGTCGGCTGTAAAATATTTTATTAGCACTCATTAAAGAATTTGCTTGCTTTTGAAAAAGATTGACAGTTTGGACAGCTGTGGTAGCTTACCTCTTCTCTGCCTTCATATTGGCTGACAATGCTCTTGAGCTTCTCTGCTAGCTCAGCATTTTCCTGGCACAGTTTATTGTTGCGCTCACTCTGCTGCTCTATCTGGCTCTGGATATCTGCCAGTGTTATCTGGAAATGATTAGTGATATCTTTACGTTTTTCTTCATCCTCTCGAACACGCTGAATTATCTCTTCCTGAAAGTGAAAATATATAGTAAAAATATATTAGTACAGAATATATTTCATTTTATGTTATTTAATGCCTAAAGTAAACAAACATAATTTGGTAGAATATATTCATATATTCTGCTTTATTAAAAATGCTTTAATCCAATAATAAACCAGCACATTGATAACAATCACAAGTTCTTCTCTAAGCAATATCAAGAGGTATAGCAATTTTTAAACATACTCGGGATAATTTATGTAACGGTCAAAGAATGCCTACTTTGGAAATTAATGTGTATGTAGCTTATTAAATAACACTGAGCTGGGCTCACTCCAAACAGATGCAGGGAACAGAGTAAAAAATATAATAACCTTCCACATGATTGGATAAACTGAGCACAGCTCCACCTTATTTATTAAGTGAAAATGTACTACTCCTTTGGGATATGAACACTGATTTTGCCATTAAAGGTGCCTAGCACATTTATGCTTTCCTGTATTTTCTCTATACATTATGAATTTATATTTACTATTTATAACTAGTCCCCCCATTATGATCTTTTTCAATATATATCCAAAATGTATATTAGAAGATGCTTATCAAAACAGGTGATCAAATGGAGATGTCTCAACATGTTTCACAGATGTATGTTCCACTTCTTCAGGAGTTTGCTGAGGCACTATTATACATAAAACTGGAGTCTTGTGGCCTTAACCAGTATAGAGTATAGCTGTTAAGATATCAAGGGTGAGCAGGGGGATACAATTAGAAGGGCCCCAGGCCAATCAACTAAACACAGATTACTCTTTGTAGTTTCCCAAATCTGTGCCTGCATGTGGGGAGAGAGAGCCCACTTCCTCCTTACACACACACAAACACACACACACACACACAAACACACACACACACACACACACACACAGGTCTGTGGTAGCAGTGAACTATACAATTATTACACAGAAAGTGTCCAATGTGTTGTGAAATATTATGTGTCAACATGCCTACTGTGTATGCACATCTTATTAATCCCCTTTGGACCATTAAGTATACCATCAAAAGGGTTTCAATTTATCTGTTCAATAATTGCAAAAAAGGCTGTTAATCCTGCAAGAAATCCAGTAAGCTCCTACCTAAAATTCTGAATCCAAACAATGTTATCAGTCCTATCTGAGTTCTCCCTGTGGACTACAGAACATTTCCCCCTCGTCACATTTACATAACATGATGATAAGTGTTTTGTAGTCCTAAACCAAAAAATAAAATAAAAAAATAGGCAAAAAAATGATACAATAGGTAAAAAAGATAAACGATAAAAAAATAATAATGCAGACACCACATCTAAGGACTAGTAATCTACAATGTGTAAGATTTTATATGGTACATCCTTACAAAAGAACTTCAGATGATAACACTTATCAAGTTTGTAGCATTTTATGGACTTAGATGTTTTCTCAGATAGTAATGTCAATGCCATACTTCTTTGGTACTGTAAAGGAGTCAGATTAAGGAGACAGCAAGACTTACGACTAACTAATGTTACGAAGTTTGTCATTGGGTAAGGTGCATTGTAAGAGGCTTATGGGGCCGTAGCACCTGAATATTAATTTGAACATTCCATTTTTGCCTTATTTCCCTGAAACTGAGAGCAGCCTGTTGTGATTGCACCGATGGGTTACATTTTGTTGGTTACATTCCAAAGCGAACATATATCTGCTAATCAGCTCCTTGATCTTCTAACTTTTACAATAACCCACTAAGTGTTCAACTTGTTTATATTTGGCCTAGCTGTTTAAGGGGTCTCATAAAACTCTAATGAAAAGTCAACCAAGCATAATTGCAGATCACTAATCAAATAACCCTTGACAGATCTAGTTAAACACAAGAGGGCACTGATAACAACATGATTGGGCAAAAAACTTATAAGTACCATATACAGTAGCTCAACATCCATAACTCCAGTCCCGGGGTTCCTACTTTGCAAAATATATTTAGGAGATCCAGAAGCCTTAACCCTCCTGGGCACAAAGTGGTCAGGTTTGGCGTCTATCAGAAGCTACTGTCATGCCACACAATAATTTAGGAATTATCAGATAGTTATTTGTAAGAATAATAAACTATGTTAATATTTACGGAATTAACAGTTTGGGAGGACCAGAGGAGAATGTCAGAAAATGCTCAGCCCTCCCACTCATTCTCCTTGCTTCTTCCAGATTGGGCTAGGGGGCTGGCTCAGGGACACCCCCTAGAGGACCAACAAACAGCTGCTATGCAGGGCAATTAGGAGCCTTTCGTTTAACATTGAGAGGAAGCGCTCATGTAACATCAACAGAAATACAGCTCACCAGCTCAATCGCCTAGGTGTGAACCTAGGCTAATAGTAATACTGATGCAATTAAATAAAAAAAAGATCGACTTGTGGTTTTTAGATATCATTCTTCTGTAAGCAACTGGGAGGTTGCGCTAATACCACAATATATGAGCATCTTGGATCTTAATGAATTTGTTTCTTAGATAAGCAGCAAAAGCTAGATATTGATTCACGCACTTGGCAAAGGTGCACAGTTGTTCCTTGTCTAGCCTAAGTGCAAATGCATTCACAAAATCAATGTATTATTTTCTTTATAATTGTTTATGTTTTAGATATACTGTATACTTTAATCAATGATTGGACCCACATAAATTTGACTGAGGAACTCGGTAAAATTCTTGTATATAATTGTTTCTGGGGCAAATATGTGTAGGCATCATTTATTGAATTTAACAAAATAACATGCTTTATTGGTGCTTTTGTATACTGAACTTCATAATTCAGCTTTGTGTATTGTAATTTATACAGGTCAATTGTATTCCTAAAAACACTACAATATATAAACTTATTTCCATCCAACTTCTTAAATGACTAATAACAATCTTCCTGTAATGCCTTGGCAATTGGTACGAATCTCAGCTGCGGGGGGTCTCTTCCTAGGGTACGGCGTCAAGGTCGAGCTCCAAGCGTCACTCTCAGTGTCTGCAGCGGAGAGTTTGGAGCCCTACCATCATATGCCGCAATTATCAGGGAAAAAAAGGAGGTAGCACACTATTGACCCAAGGGGGTTGATTTACTAACATTATAAACACACCACGAACATGTATACACCTTGTAGTGTGTTCCCTCCCAGCATGATCTATGGGTGGAATCTAAACACCTTTGTAGTGTGTACACACCCAGCAGGTGTGTTGTGCAAAGCCCTGCCCTGAATTGCAAGGTGATGTTGTGTAAATTAGCTCTACATTGTGTTGCTTGCGTTGATGAATGCAGGAATGTAAATGCATGAGCTAACCATTTTTGTCTAAACTGTGAAGCAGCATTATATATGCATCATGTGCATGATTTTTCCATATATGGCATTAGTGGAAACATGCTTATAGAGACTTTTTGGTTGATAAATACGCTTTGCTGTGTAAAAATCACATGCACCTGGTGCGTGCGTGTGTTTAGGTTAGTAAATCACCCCCACGGTGTCACTGCATAACACAGGGTGAACTAATTATGAATGTTTAGGCAGTTGTATAACAGCGTGGTATCAGACTATTGCCCCAAGTTATTACAGCATACCAAGGATGCAACAATTATGAACGTCTTAAGCAAGATGATATAACAGAGTAACTTTTCCCTTTAAGAGGTGTGAGTCCAGTGGTAAGAAAAGGCAGTCCGTAATGCAAATCACAAGATACAGAGAGCTCCAATAGTAATCACATGCAGAGTACTCCTAGTAGGCAACACAGAAGGATACTTGAAACTACTTGTTTCAGTCTTCAAATCTATCCCTATGGACCCCCTTGGATCCTAGGCCTAGGTTGCACACAGAGCCTAGACTTTTATTCAATCTAAGATCAAGCAATGCCACTCCATGCACTAATGTCAGCTTCCTTTTGTTCAGCTGTCAAATACTAGAGCCTGTACTGGGCACTGAGATTTGGGAATTTGACCGTTAAATGGTAGGAGGTGGGGGTTAGGACCAGAAGAGGGCAGGGATAAGCCTCTACTTTGAGAGAAGTCAAAGGCCCACCATGCAGCCTGGACATATGATCCAAGGGGCTCCATGAGGACACAGGGTTCAACTTTTAGACTACACACAGGTACTCACAAGCAACCCAATGTGACTGTGCTTCAGCACTTATGTTACTATGCACCTAAATGGGGACATCATTCAATCTCCTTCGGGCACCTGAGCATTCAGGATGGGCATTGCCAGGTCTTGAGTTAAGAACTGCTACTATCAATGCTAGTCTTTCCTGGACAATTACTGGCCTGGATCTTTCATCCAGCAATAGGTGTCATCCTAGCAGAAACAACTTTGCTAATGGCTGAATATTTTTCTTCAGGATCCTTCCATTAGTTTATCAATTTTTATCAAATGCTACTCGCTATATTGTATATTCCCTGTGTGTTTTCTCAAAATTATATTTCATGTTGACCAATGTGGAATATGCTCTGAACTAATACCACATATATCACTTGGTCCTTTTGATGATCCTAGACATTTATTTTTAATTTATTGTATTTCTACCTTTTGGGATGTTTATATTGATTTAATGTCTTATCTTATCAACTTTGTTATGTTATTGAGCATTGTGCTATCAAATGTTGCTAATCTAGCAAGAACAGTGGATTAACCATTTAATGTTCAACCATTGTTTAAATAATTCATTATTGAAATAATTGCTTCCTATATTGCTCAAGTGGAGAGATCTCTTCAGCTGCTTCAGCAATCACAATACTTGGTAATTTTGCTTTGATATATACTATATAAGATAAGGTGGAATAAACAAATGCTGTTATTGCTGAGCAAAGCTGAACAAAAGAGCCAAATCCAAAGCTGAACGAAAGAGCCCTTGTGGGAAGGGCTAAAGACACAGACTGTAAGCCTCAATTGGGAGCAACACTCAAGATAATTAGGACATTTCTGCTGTCTCAGGAGACAATAACAAATGGTTAAGGCATGTGCTGCTGGAATTGCTGGAAAATCTCCTTGTGATATAGTGCAATTCTATCCACTGCTACCAACTAAGCAGGAAATTATGAAGTATGGGTTATTCACAAAAGGGTGAAGAGTTTGGAGAAGTGAACAATCTAGGCCAAAATAGCTGATTTGGAAAATTCTCGAATTCAGCTCACTTTCTAGTTCAGCTATGTTGTCCTAGATTGTTCACTTCTCCTGACTTCTCCAAACTCTTCACCCTTTTGTGAATAACCCTGCATGTCTTCTGCAGTCAGCACAGAATGGGATTGTAACAGGTACTAGTGATAAAATCTTTACAGAATGGGCAGTTATCTTCTTTCTCATTGTTCTCAGAGAGATATCTGTCCATCTACGGTAAACCTCCTAAAACTTCCCATTGTTCTCAGGGGGTTATCTGCCTATCTATGGTCATCTTACTGCAACCCCCATTGTTCTCAGGGAGATATCTGCCTATCTACGGTCAACCTTCTGCGACATGCCATTATTCTCAGGGGGATATCTGCCTATCTATGGTAAACCTCCTCCAACCTCCCATTGTTCTCAGGGGGATATATGCCTATCTACAGTCAACCCCCCCTCAGGAATGTTTCACCACTAGAGTCATTAAGAGACATGAGATGTTCTCAGGTAATTTACCCAGTGGTGGCCCCACAGAACTGAAACATATTTCATTTAGTGGCAGTAATATGCTAGGGTTTTTTTTTTTTAATGACATGGTAGGTCCTTACCTCTCTCCTTACGCAACTGAATGCTCCCCTGATGAACATGAATTGTTCCCCAAAAGCCTCTTTCAGGAGTGTTGGAAATGTTGATCACCGTATTCCTCTCTGCACTCAGTGGCTCCTCCTGTCGACTGCTATGTCACTATTGTGCTCTGTGGTGATGTAATGGGGTCAGAGAGGTAATAATGAGTGCAGGGGGGGACCAGGACCCAAAAGTGTTGGTTTTTTAAGAGACTTTCAGATATGATTTCTCTTCATTGGAGCAGTGGGAGAGGCAAGTGTTTATTTGCTTCTTTGAATGTAGATCGTTTGCTGGCATTTTGATTTGAGCAACACTCACTTTAATAAAGTTTAAACACAAGAATAGATTGTTTCATTTTATATTAGATCCTCATTTTATATTAGACTTTATATTAGATCTTGAGATTGAGTTTCTAGCATGTCACAATGATGGAAAAAGAATTTGTAAATACAAAGAATAAAACTTTACTGGTATAAACGTTTACATTTTCCCTTTGCTAGACATTCCTGTCCACTTAAGGGTCTCTGGGGAATTGAAATCATGCTGCATGAAGAAGTACATTTTGTTTTACATTCGTGTGTTATCATAGTAACCTTGAGTGTTTTGTTGTGTCTCTGTAGCTCCCGGCATAGGCTCTCCAGTTTGCTACGTGCAAGAATAGCTTTGCTGTGATCGCTTTGTAGTTGGTCTTTTTCTTTTATTAGCTGCAATTGTCGCTTTTGCAGCTGCTTCATCTGTTTTTGTTCTGTATGGTGTTCTTCAAGCTATGGAAAGAAAAAGAAAAATCTTAACAATAGTAATCCTGATCATTATCAAACTTCATCATATGTTAAAATATATACTTACATTTTTCTTATCTATTTGGTAAACCCTAAGGTAAAAAAAAAGTATATTTCTTGCTTGGATACTATATTATCCAGTGTTCAGATTACTAGTATATTTTTTATTACATGACTGAATACTTTCTACTTAGAGACAGTTAAAGTGGACCTTCCAGTAACTTTCCTTTTCTTCCAGTAAGTCTTCATGCATACATTTCTGACATGTCACAATATACAATACCAGTGTGTTTTTTCAAAACAAGCTCTACATTTTATCATTGATATCAGTCCTTAAGCTCCAGTCAAGTTATTTTTTTTCCTAGGCTGAGATGATACCATCAGTCTGAAGCTCCTCCTTCTCAGTAAGTGAACACTCAAACTGGGTATTGTAACTTTGGCGCAAGTCACAAGGTGAAAGATTGCAGCAGAAGGGAACTGATGTGTCAGACATTTGTGAACACAGTCAAGAACTGCACAGGCAGCGGGATTCATAGTGTTGGTTATGTGTTCAGATGAAGCGCTGAAATCTTGAGGAATGCTGAATTAGGTTTACTTGCTTAGAATAACATTACATGTATGAATATGGCATTGTGAAGAAAATATAGAGAATTAACTGGTGTTTCATAGATAAGCATGCACATAGATACTAACATTGCACTACAGTGCCATCTACAGCTCAAAGGACAAATTACAGTATATGCTGTTGCATTTCCAACATATAGTACATGATAGTTTAAAGTGACACTCAACTCAGGAGTTAAATCTTAAAAATGCATTTAAGTACCGTAAATATTAACAAAAATGTATCTCATTTGTGTATCACTCAGCTGTAGATCCTCAAATAATCTCCCTGTGTGTATTGTAAAGTAGCCATCGCTCCAAGCACAGTTAGTATACTAATTTGTATCAAGAATTTAGTTCTTCAACATTTTTTTAATGGTGCTGGTTACACTGGATTACCACATTTTAAAGCCCTTTTCAATGCCACACCTCTTTCTAGATACCAATAAAATTTTATGCCTAAAATTACAGCACTGATGGTGATAAATATGTTGCACTTAGCATCTTAGCTGGCAGTCTAAATTGTGGAATAAGTGCCTGATTGACAGAGAATTTAAAGCTTGTCACTGCACAGCTAAGACTGACAGAAAACCATTTTAACACTTTAGCATGATAGTCAAAATACTGTATATACATGGGAAAGCTCTAAACTTTTTTTTTTTTAGAACTTTCCAATAAAAAACAAAACAGAACAGTTAGTATTTATTGGCATTAACAATACTGAGAAGAAAGTTTCAGGTTCCAGCGCACCTAGAAAATAGGTATCACTGTGTTCTAAAGAGGATGAGAAGGCATTACAGTATGGTAGTGCCCACTAAATGTTACTAGGAAGATAAAAACTGACTAAATAATTTCTGCCAAAAGACTGAATTTAGTACCAAGTAAATTGGTGCATTCTGGGCTGAATTCTGATTCATGTGGATGAATTCACTTCTAAAGTGTATTTGCCCTTATTCTTATTGTGCAAGCTAAGTTAATTTTTCAAAAAGCAAAGTAGTTCTTACAATTTACATAATGATTTGTAATCACTAAAGTGATTTCTTGTTTTGCACAATGTTTTTTTTTATAAGGAGATGAGAAAGGGCTTATCCCCGCTTGTGCATTGTGGCAACGGGAATGGAACCTCAACACATTGTACAGTAGAGCCTAAAGCATAATGCATCACAGCACACCATAACACATATACTATGTCTTGTGGTGCACTGTGGTTTAAAAAAAAAAGAGCCAATCAGCATGGAGCCAGCTTCCAGGCCAATCAGGAAGCCAGGCTGCGAGTCATTACCCGCCACCCAGATTCCTGATTGGCCGGGAAGGCGGCTCCATGTTCCCTTGTGGCACTGTCAGAGGAAATCTCCCTCTGAGCAGCAATTTCGGTATTGGGGATAAGTAACGGAGCATTTGGGCGAGTATGAGTACTCACCCAAATACTCAGTATCCGCACTGATACCCATAATAGTATCAGTGCATCCCTACTATGGTGTTATGATTTCTTAGCTACTCTAGGAAACCTCTCTCAAATACAATGCCAGTACAGTGCCTTGGTGTTTTTCCTGTTTAATTATTTTACAGCCTGGAAACAATGTACATAACATGCCTACCACTTTGTAAGTGCTACATAATTTTTTATTGTGACACAATCAATAATGTGACAAAAAAACAAAAATCTGTGCATAAGTATTCACCCCTTTGCTAGGAAACCCCTAAATTAGATGTGGGCCGACCAATTAACTTCAGAAGTCCCATAATTAGTTGATGAAGATCCACCCGTGTGCAATCAAAGTGTCACTTGATCTGTCACATGATGTCAGTATAGTTGTATAGATTAGGGTTAGGTTATAAAAACTAGGGATGCACCACTACTGGTACTAGTATTGTTATCGGATGCCGACATAGACTATTTGGGCGAGTACTCGTACTCGTCCAAATGCTCCTGATGCCTATCCTGATACCGGAACTGCCAGTATTAGGAAGCTGGGCGGTGAGTCATTACACACCTCCCGGCTTCCTGATTGGCCAGGAAGCCGACTCCATGCTCCCTTATCACCAGGGAGCTGGCTTCCCAGCCAATCAGGAAGCCGGGGGCGTGTAATGACTGGCCCCCCACCTTCCTGATTGGACGGGAAGCCAGCTCCATGATCCATCATCACCTGGTGATGAAGGAGCATGGAGTTGGCTTTCTAGCCAATCAGGAAGCCGGGTGCCGTGTAATGACTCGCCGCCCAGCTTCCTGCTTGGTTGGGAAGCTGGCCAATCAGGAAGCCAGGCAGCGAGTCATTACCTGCCCCCCGGCTTCCCGGCTAATCAGGATGCTTGGCTGCGAGTCATTACACGCCGCACAGCTTCCTTAATGGGACTTCCAGTAGCGGTATTCGGTATTGGCGAGTACTGAACAAAAAAAACAGATATCATGGCATCCCTAATAAAAAACATCATAAATTTTGAATATCCCACGGAATACTATTAAATCTATTATAACAAAACTGAAAGAATATGACACTACTACAAACCTGACAACAGAAGGCCGCTCACCAGAACTCACAGACTGGGCAGAAAGGGCATTAATCAAAGATGCAACAAAAATATCAAAGATAACACTGAAGCAGCTGCAAAGATCCACAGCATTGATGGGAGTACATAGGACCGCTTTAAGCCTTATACTCCACAGTGTAGGGTTTTATGGAAGGATAGGCAGAAAAAAAGTAATTAAGTCATTTACTAAAAGTAAAAAATAAGAATATACATTTGGAGTTTGCCAAACTGCGTGTGGCAGACTTTACAAACACACAGAAGAAGGTTCCCTGGTCAAATGGTTCTAAAATTAGGCTTTTTGGTCATCATGAGAAATGGTATGTTTGGCGCAAACCCAATAATTCCCGTCACACTGAGAACACCATCCCCACAAGGAAGCATGGTGGTGGCAGCATCATGCTGTGGGCATTCTTTTCATCGGTTGGGATTGGAAAACTGATCAGGATTAAAGAAAAATGGATGGCATTAAATACAACGCAATTTTGGAAGAAATGCTACAGTCTGAGACTGGGTTGGAGGCTCACCTTCAAGCAGCACAATGACCCTAAACATACTGTTAAACCCACACTGGAGTGGTTTAATGGGAATCATTTAAATGTCTTGGAATGGCCTATTCAAAGCCCAGACCTCAAACCAACTGAAAATCTGTGGCATGACTTAAAGATTGCTGTACACCAACACAACCCATTTAAATTGAAGGAGCTGAACCAGTTTTGCCTAGAAAAATGCTAAACATTCTATTGGCTAGATGTGCTAAGCTAATAGAGACAAACCCCAAGAGACTTGCAGTTGTAATTGTAGCAAATGGTGGCTCTACAAAGTATTGACGTTTGGGGATGAATACATATGCACAAGATTACTGTTTTTGTTGCCTAAATTATTGTTTGTGGCACAATAAAAATTGTGTTGCACCTACAAAGTGTTAGAAATGTTGTGTATATCACATGATTCAAACCTCTGAAAAATCTATTCTAATTCCAGGTTGTAAAGCAATAAAACAAGAAAAACACCAAGGGGTGAATACTTTCGTAAGTCTTATGTTAGTTCCAGACAATAATGGGATACCTTTATTTTAATCCCACCAAATATACTATTAAGATACAAACAACAATTGCGACAAGGGTGGGGAAGGCTTAGAATTGCTGTCAGATTATTTTTGTTGCCTATAGCTCCAACGGGAAGATTTCTCATCTATTCCTTTCTCAGGAATAATGTTGTCAATGTGAAAGGAAGTGACTCACCTGCAGGTGCACAGACAGCAATAAAACCCTGACAGCAGTTCTAAGTCTCCACCCATTTCCCCAGATTCCTTCCTTTGATGAACAACACATACGCAGCAGTACATATATATATTCAGTACGTATATTCAGTACTTACCAGTTCTGCATACTTCTTTGCCAAGGCTTCTAGTTTTTCCTCTGGTGTGGTAAGCTTGTTAAGGCTTTGCAGAAGTTGGGCTGCCTCTTTACCTTAAATAAAAATTAATACACAATAGTCAATTAAAAAATGTATACAATAAACTTGACAGTTTCTATGTTGCTGTTTGATATACCTTTACGACTGCACTGCAAAAATAATTCTGCGCATGATATATCAAACCTCCAACAGACGACAGAAAAACTTACAGCTGGTATTAACAGAGGGTTGAAGGAGGCATATGTAAAGAAGGGACACAGGGCAGCCATGCATGCCCAAGGAATCTATGAATTACATTCACAGTGAAGTGAGAGCAAACCTACAAAAACAGAGCTAGCTATTAGCTAAGCCTCCCATCTGGTGAATTCTCTGGAAGTGGCTGCAAGCAGTACATTTTTATCTATAGCCTCTGCCAGTGACACTAATACAGTTTATAGATTTCTTGGACATACAAAGCCATCCAACAATCTTTCCGTTACATATGCACCCTTTCTGTTGTATCATGTTCATACTAGCTTGGTGGAGGTTTATTGTATTGTGTATAAAATTATCTTTGAAATTCCGTTGTAGAACCAAGTTTCGTAAGCTGCAATACAAGGAATGCTTTTCCCTGTTGTGTCTACATGGTGAGAACTGGTGCCATCATTGAGAGACATGTGTACCAAAATCTGTTAAAAAGGTTTCATCACTAGTACTATCACAAATGACTCCTTATTTAAAGATAGTGGGAGGACCATTCATTGTTACATAGTTAAGCTAAAAAAAGTGCATAAAGTTTAAAAAGCAGAAACAAAATTGCAAAAACATCTTATTTGTACTTTTCAAACTGATTCCTAAATCTGTGTCTAGTTCATTGTAACCACCTGGACCACTTTGTGTTCTAATGAGGAATGTTGCAGTGTTTGCATGTCTTTAAATGCTGTTAACCCTTAGTGAGTATCTCACCAAAAGAATTATTTTTTTTTTTTTTTACTGGGGATGACTATAATTTTACTTGTATCTTAGTGCGCACATCTGCTAAAATCTGTGAGCCAAACACACAGGCACACAATTAAATTTCCGTGGGCCTTCTGTACATCAACTGTATACAGAAGTTTTACAAAATACAGTGGCTTTAGACTGAAATAGATAGATCATTTTTGATAACATTAAATTACAAAATTACTTGTGTAGCTAATTTAGATGCTATATTATTTTTTAAACAAAAGTTTTCCTTCAAAGCAATGCCCTCCACTAAACAAATGCAAAGCAAAATTGAGCCTTTTAAAGTTAGGGGGTATGTATACATCCAACACTTTTATCAGAAATCCAAAAAGTAGTACGCTTGTTCCTCGTTTGAGGATAGTGGAATTCCTTATTTAAAAATGTTATTACCCATTTGGTTATACTTTCCTACTGCTCTCCTATGCCCTATGCCCTATAATCTTTGGTTCCCATTACCTACATTGATGATGGCCAACAAGCCTAAAACAAGTGTATGCAGCTTAGAATAGGAATATAAAGTAATTGACTTGTATTAAGTTAAATACATCTGTTCCCTTGTACGGCAGCAATCAAAATGTACCATTTGAGATTAAGACGCCATGTTCCCTGAATTTTAAGTAATAATTGGGCCAAAATTTAATCTATCTGATACTGATACAGATATCAAAATGAATGACATACTATTTATTATGTTTTGGAGCACTAACAAGCTAGTTCAGGGTAGCTTCACTTATGCATCTAAAACAGTAATATTGTCCATTTGATAAGATGTTTGATAATAGTGACTTTATGCTCTGTACATGTATGCTTTTTGAAATAGCGGTACAATGTAACAATAAATAAAATACATGTGTCACAGTGTACAGTGAACAATCTTTTTTTACCTGCCAGTCATGACTACATAAGGATGCAAGAACGGTGATGGCTATGCCCAAGTAATCCAACCCAAAATATATACTTCTGACACAATATCCCGCTTGCAAAATGACCATGATGTATTTATATATCTGAAGCTTTGCTCTTAGGAACAACCATACTTAAAACAGAGCTTTCACTTTTCTATTTAAAGCATCAAAAAGATACATAACCTTTGTCTCTGTCTACCGAAAACATCAAGTCAGGTTAAGAGGAAATATTGTTTTTATACTGAACCCTATTTGAAGTGAAACCATTCTTTGTATGATACATCGGGCAAATGTGGGCAAATGTTTTATAAATCGTTTAATGAATAACGGTAATATAAATATAATATATAATTTAGTTACACACGTATTGTTTTTATAATTAATATCACCAAATTATGTAAAATAAAGTGCCTTCAATAAATCAACCCCATTGTCTCATCTATACCTGCATGCCTATGGCATAGAGTAAAGCAAAGAAAGTGTGAAAAGTGATCAATTACTGCTTATTCTACCAAGATATTGGATCATAGTAATATTTTAAACTAACAGTTTTCTGTAATTAGTTTAACACTCAGAGGGCTAAAAGGAAAGGCTTTACTTTTGAAAGAAAAACATAAACAAGTCAGACTGGAATTTACTGAAATGAATTTTGACAAGCCACAATGCTTCCTGGAGAATGCCCTTTGAACAGCTAAGAAAAAACTGGATCTTTCTGGCAAGTCAAATCAACTCTATGTTCACAGACAACAATATGAAGCTTTCAATGAAAAGAACACCATACCTACTGTAAACCATCGAGGAGGCTCAGTTAGGTTTTGGGGCTGCTTTTCTGCATCTGGCATTGGCTGCTTTGAGTCTGTGCAGTGAACATGGGTCACACAGCTAAACGCACCCAAGAATGGCTAAGGACAAAACACTAGACTATTCTGAAGTGACCTACTGTAAGCCCTGATGGGAACCCTATTGAACATCTACGGATAGAGCTGAAACATGCAGTCTGGTGAAGGCATCCTTCAAACTTGAGACAGCTGGAGCATTTGGCCAAACTACCTGTCGCCAGCTGCAGAAGTCTCATTGAAAGATACAGAAATCACTTGTTTGCAGTCTCTAAAAGTTGTGCAACAAAATATTAAGTTAAGTGTCCTGTCATTTGGGCCATGCTATTTTAATTTGTTTTATTCTTTAAATATTCTTATTCTTATATATACAGTTGTGTGAAAAGTGTTGGCCCCCTTCCTGATTTTTCATTGTTTTGCATGTTTGTCACACTTTAATGTTTCAGATCATCAAACAAATTTAAATATTAGTCAAAGATAACACAAGTAAATAAAACATGCAGTTTTTAAAGGAAGGCTTTTATTATTAAGGGAAAACAAAATCCAAACCCACATGGCCCTGTGTGAAAAAGTGTTTGCCCCTAAACCTAATAACTGGTTGGGCCACCCTTAGCAGCAAGAACTGCAATCAAGAGTTTGCGATAACTTGCAACGAGTCTGTAACAGCGCTGTGCAGGAATTTTGGTCCACTCATCTTTGCAGAATTGTTGTAATTCAGCCACATTGGAAGGTTTTCGAGCATGAACCGCCTTATTAAGGTCATGCCACAGCATCACAATAGGATTCAGGTCAGGACTTTGACTAGGCCACTCCAAGGTCTTCATTTTGTTTTTCTTCAGCCATTCAGAGGTGGACTTGCTGGTGTGTTTTGGATCTATGTCCTGCTGCACAACCCAAGTTCGCTTCAGCTTGAGGTCACGAACAGATGGCTGCACATTATCCTTCAGGATTTTTTGGTAGACAGCAGAATTCATGGTTCCATTTATCACAGCAAGTCTTCCAAGTCCTGAAGCAGCTAAACAGCCCCAGACCATCACACTACCACCACCATATTTTACTGTTGGTATGATGTTCTTTTTCTGAAATGCGATGTTACTCTTATGCCAGATGTAGTCCACAGAGTATTTTCCCAAACGTCTTGGGGTTTATCAAGATGTTTTCTGGCATAACGGAGACGAGCTTGTATGTTATTTTTGCTCAGCAGCGGTTTTCATCTTGGAACTCTGCCATGCAGGCCATTTTTGCCCAGTCTCTTTCTTATGGTGGAGTCATGAACACTGACCTGAACTCAGGCAAGTGAGGCCTGCAGTTCTTTGGGTGTTGTTGTGGGGTCTTTTGTGACCTCTTGGATGAG